TTATGCACTTGTTCCTGTGGTGAAACAGGTACCCCAGGTAGTGCCAATCAAAAACTAAATAATAACAAGCAGAATAGAATATTACAGGGAGATCCTAGTATAAGGATAGCAACGAAGGGGATACTAGGGATGTAAAGTCTTTCCCTATTGTGCCTTTGAGGGCACCCCTTATCCCCAACAAAATCTCACCCTTTTGTGTCCACCTCCCCCAAAAATCCCTGAGAACTAATATGGTTAGAAAGCATATACCTATAGTAACAGCCAAAAAAATGTAGCATGATAATAATGCGATAGCTGGATATGAATCGTGGTACAGTGCTAGTGTTTCGCTTGTCAGTTCAGCTATACGTTTTCTCCTCCAACTTTCTCTTTTTGGTATGTGTAGTTTAATAAATAACTGCAACATATATTGTAAAAATATCTGCAGGAACTTAGTAAATTTTTGTGTATGTTTGAAATTACATCATGTTTTACATCATGTGGGCTGGTTGACCATGTTTCTTTCATTAAAATGTATGGTGCTTTGGAAAACCATCTCCCTGTTGTGTAAAACAAGGGTCCGTCCCTTGGGAATTCAGACAGGGCAGTTTGCTAAAGTGAGAATTACAGGGGTTTCAAAGTAAATTTCAAATTAAAAGGGGCACTATAAGCACAAAAACATCTTTAGATTAATGAAGCACTTTTAGTGTATAAATCATACCCCTGCAATCTCACTGCTCAATTATCTGCAATTTAGGAGTTAAATCATTTAGTTTAAAGAGCCCTAATCAACTCTCCTTGCATGTGACCTGAACACCCATCCCGAACACCTTCTGTAAAGAGAGATCTAATGCTTAAACTTTATTACATAGTATGTTTAATACTGTTAAGACTGTAAAGACTGCTAGAGCTTGCCAGAGCCTCCTGTGTGGGATTGAAGAACAATTTACATAGCAGAAGATAAACACTTCTAAAGCAAGATACCATCTGATTGAAAGTAAAAAAAAATTTTCACGCAGGTTGTGTGAATCACAGCCAGTAGAGGTGTGGTTAGAGTGGCATAAACAGAAACAAGTGATTTAAATCTGAAGTTGCAGCTAATTGAGCGGTGAGACTTGAGAGGCATGATACCCCAAAACTGCTTAATTAAGATAAAGTTGTTTTGATGCATATAGTGTCCCTTTAAGCCCCACTCAGTTGAATTGAAAAAACTGCCCAAGTCAACTACGCTTCCAGTTCTGCTATTCTGGTCTACGATGTAATTTTCCTTGAATTCCCAACCATTCTTATTGTATTTCCATTTAATAGTATTTGCATTGATCTGTACATTTGTGGAGTAAAGATGGCTGCTTAGCATTTGCTTCTATTAATCAGTTCTGCTTTTGCTGCTCACACTGTGCCTTAGAGAACAAGGCATTGCAGAGTTGTCATTTTCCTGGATTTTGATCCCAGAGAGAAATGATTGAGAATTGCTAAAGGAAAATGTAGTATCATATTAGAGATCTATACAGTGTAGGGGTAAATACAGAAGAATTATGTAAGACCATGGAATGAACAAGAACATCTAAACTTACTATAGAGAGACAAGCGTGTGACACACACTGTATACTGATGGGTCATATGGGATGTATTCACCAAACATAGAATTGTAATGCATTTTTTAAAAATAGTTCATGAAGTTAAAAGGACACTCCATTGCCCAAATTAAAAAAAATGTAAAAGAAAAATCACCGATTGGTAGATATATATTGCCAATGAAAACATATATTGTTTTACTTGGGTAATCTCTAAAAATAGCTTGCAAAAGCTGCAGTTCTCTTGTCGGTTGCCTTTGGAAGCCCTCTCCTTCATTCTGTGGCTGTCAAATCACAGACTTCCCAATGCATTGAGAAGTCTTTGCAAAGCAGATGCTCTGTCCAATTGCTGCCTCTTGAGTTTAGTTCAAGTCAGCTAATAAAACCATGGAGAAATAGAACCCCTTGCCTGCTGAAAAGGGGGTTAATTTATAAGTGTCAATTTCTATTGAAGTGTGCACTTTTTGTAAACTGGGAAGCAGGGCACACTTTTCACACATAAAGCAATTCAGCAAGTTAAAGTGCTTTAAGGGCCTAGAGTATCCTTTAACTACAATTTTCCCAAACAAGTTGCTATGGAGAATGCTCTCCATTATGGAGCTTTACTTTGCCAAATTATAACAAAAATGCGTTGATAACTGATAATGCGTATGATGTGTCATGAGGATAAATGGTGATTTTATTACCAAAATCACTGGATTATTGTTATTGAGGCATAGAGAAATAACACTGATAGGGACCCCCTGTGTAGGCAATCACTGGGATAGTGGCTCCCAGTGGTCACCATAATAGCAGCATGTTGAAACAAATGGAGAACATATTATAACCCTGTACACACCATGATCCTGACAATCATGCTATGCCCTTGCTATTACTGGAAAGCACACTCACTCACTGACGCTTTGCAGCGATATCCCTAGATGGCACCAAGATGGCTGTGAGGTACCATAGAATTGTCATGATAGCCAATCATGGAGATTCTATGGATTGATTAACAGCTGATGCTAACAGCTACAGTGCATGTTGGGATCAGCTGTCTCAGAAGGCTCAGAAGTGAGGCAGTCCAATAGCAGTCAAGGGCAAGTGTTACAAGGAAAATACATAGTAACAGCTATGATGGCTATAATGTTCTCTTAGAGAAAAATTAAGAATGGGTAAATTATTGCCAAATTTGAATTGTTCGATTCTCTATTTAAAGTCATTGGGTCCCTGGGTTGGGACAAAAGAGTCCTTTGATGAAGATTGAAGTCCCATGATCATCCAGGTGTCTGCTAGACAAATTACATTTAGGAATCAATTCAGTATGTTGGATTTAGGTGCTCTCGTTTTTATTATGAATGGGTGCCACATCTTTCTGTCTATTGCTCCTTCTTTTCACCTGCCACTTCTTTAGTTGCTCAGTATCAGCTCTCGAAGGAGTCCTAGACTTGGGGCTAAAAAACACATTAGGTTTTGTTGAGTATACTGCAGTGCCAGATGTGATCATATTAGATTATTGTTCTGAATCTGAGATGGATTACACGGAAAAGAGATCCACAGTATTACCCCAAAGATGTCTAATTCTGGAGCGTGAGGTCTGGGTGTCCGAGTGGCTTCAACAGATAACCAACAGTAGACTGTGTTCTGAATAATCATTGAGTACTCAATCCAATCCCGGTCTTTTAAAACAGATCATATGATCTTTATATGCTTTGAGGTCAATCAAGAGTTTTTTTAATTAGTTAATCACATTTATTGATATTATATTCAGGTGTATGTTTAACTTCATAGTCAGGGATTTTATTGCGTAAAATCTTAAATTCCCTGGTTATATTCATAGATACATATTTGTCATAGATTTTAACTCTGTATAGTAGTGTAGCTACTTCTGTATTTGATAGTTGTTAATGTGTGAAATTTTGTTTAGACAATCTATCCCATTGGTACATATATATATATATATATATATATATATATATATATTCTTGTGTTGCTTATTTAACCAATGTTATTGCTATGGATCATAATGATGAATGTCATGATCTATCTTCTTCTCTATTATTGTCTTTCTCTTAACTTACTTTACTTCACTGGAGGGAAGTATGTATTAAACTATGGGATATTAATGATATTAGTTGGTACTTAGGTTTGCACATTGTGTTTACTTTTCTGAATCTTACATCTGGCACATTACGGTGTATTGGGGATCTATTTGGTTATAGGAAGTAAGAGATCACCTCTGCTTTTGGGTTCACCCTCATTTCTGCTCCGTTTCTTCCTGTTTATAGTATTTACCTGCTGTATTTGATGCATTTATAAAAGTCCTGTGGTAGGACTGAAATGTTGGTCAGATTGTTCATATGTGTCTTTTTGAAAATAAAGAATATATATATTTTTTTGGTCAAAGGTTTTGTGGAGGAATGTATCATACGCTTGGATATTGCAAAATGGCATCCAGACCAGAATTGGTGAGTGTGTGGCCAGTGAGGAATAATTATATATAATTATACACCCTGTTCCAAATTATTATGCAAATTCTATTTAAGTGTCAAAAAGATGAAATATGTTGTCTTTCAGTTTAACTCATGGATGGCATTGTGTCTCAGGGCTCTTTTGATCACTGAAAACAATCTCGGACACCTGTGATAATTAGATGGCCAGGTGAGCCCAATTTAAGGAAAAACTACTAAAGGAGGGTGTTCCACATTATTAAGCAGAGCATCATTTTCATGCAATATTGGGAAGAAAAAGGATCTCTCTTCTGCCGAAAAGAGTGAAATAGTTCAATGCCTTGGACGAGGTATGACAACATTAGATATTTCACGAAAACTTAAGCGTGATCATCGCACTATTAAGAGATTTGTGGCTGATTCAGAGCACAGACGGGTTCGTGCAGATAAAGGCACATTGAGAAAGATATCTGCCAGATCCATGCATCGGATCAAGAGAGCAGCTGCTAAAATACCATTACATAGCAGCAAACAGATATTTGAAGCTGCTGGTGCCTCTGGAGTCCCACGGACATCCAGAGTCTTGCAACTGTGCATAAACCTTCTATTTGGCCACCACTAACCAATGCTCGCAAGCAAAAACGGCTGCATTGGACAGAAAAATACATGTAGACTAATTTTGAAACAGTCCTGTTCACTGATGAGTGCCGTACAACCCTGGATGGTCCAGATGGATGGAGTAGTGGATGGTTGTGGATGGCCACCCTGTTCCAACAAGGCTGTGACGTTAGCAAGGTGGTGGTGGAGTCATGTTTTGGGCCAGAATCATGGGAAGAGAGCTGGTTGGCCCATTTAGGGTCCCCGAAGGTGTAAAGATGACCTCTGCAAAGTATGTGGAGTTTCTGACTGACCACTTTCTTCCCTGGTACAGAAGGAAGAACTATGCTTTCCATAATAAAATCATCTTCATGCATGACAATGCACCATCTCATGCTGCAAAGAATACCTTTGCATCAATGGCTGCTATGGGGATAAAAGGAGAGAAAGTCATGGTGTGGCCTCCATCCTCCCCTGACCTCAATCCTATTGAGAACCTTTGGAGCATCCTCAAGCAAAAGATCTATGAGGGTGGGAGGCAGTTTACATCCAAACAGCAGCTCTGGGAGGCTATTCTGACATCTTGCAAACAAATTCAAGCAGAAACTGTCCAAAAACTCACAAGTTCAATGGATACAAGACTTGTGAAGCTGCTATCAAATAAGGGGTCCTATGTTAAAATGTAACGTGACCTGTTAAAATGTTTAAAAAGTTAAAATGTTGTTATAAGTTTGATTGAAATAGCTTTTGATTTCAGTAAATATGCTGCAAACACAACAAATGACAATTTTCAGTTCTTTACAACCTATAAAGTGTTTTGAAACTTACTGTGCGTAATAATTTGGAACAGTGCATTGTAAGTTTTTTATGTTTTAAAAAAATACTGTTATCATTAGGAGGTTTGTTCAATAAAATTGTAGATTATGCTAGCTTTAGTGTACCTATAATCTTAATTTTATTAATGACAGGAGGCGAGTATTTGCATAAGTCTCTCTTTACTAGAACTCCACAGCAGCACAGAAAAAACAGCCAATCAGAGAAAAGTTAGGTACTATAAAACTCCCCTCCCCAGGCATAATTTCCTCTTTCAAGCTGCGACAAAAACAGAACAAAAGGCAGAAAACCTAATGGGGAAGAAACAAAGTCCTAGTTACAATGAATACAACAATGTCCACCATCCGAGAAGAACTGTCAAACCAGATAGCGGTAAACAAGAGAAAAACAGAATCGAACAGGTTGGTTAGCCAATGAAATGTACTCTGAACAAACATGTAAGTACCCAATGTAGCAACCAAAAGTACCTTAATATGTAGATATCCCAACCCTACTTATGAAAAAACAGAAATAAGAACAGGTGACAGGTAGCAGGGACAACAAGCAGAGTTGCATACGTACCTGATGAACCCAAACTATTAATTTAAACAAGGGAGGGATAAGAATGGGTGGGAAATACTCACCTCCTGTCATTAATAAAATTAAGATTATCGGTACACTAAAGCTAGCATAATCTACAATTTTATAACATGACAGGAGGCTTCGTATTTGCTGTTTTAACGTTCAGCCAACAAATCCAACGCTGTTTGTTTCACTGGTACCTATTCTGGGATATACTAGAGCAATCCTAACTGGACCTTCCATCAGCGAGAAGTGACATTAGACAGATCGACGAAGATGCCAGCTGTCGAGGCACCCCAAAATACGGAAAAGACATCCTCCACTGGTAGATCCACTGTAAGTGGGGTTGTGACCTGTTTCCTAGTTACCGATCCATGAGCTGCCAAGCTGACCTATTAGCCATTTTCCTGTAGGTATAAAATGCCAAAGGTCAATTGCGGACTTAGGGAGAAACTGCCACCAGGTCTCGACTGTTGATGTGGCAAATGGATCCTCCGATCGTGCCAGGGTCACCAGGTGATGTGGCCCTGCAGGCAAATCTCCAACCTCCAGTAATGCGTCGAAGTCTACCCCCAATTCTGTAACAGAAACAGAGTAGGGTCATTTCGTTCCCACATGACCTAACCGGTGAGTTGTCTCATCCAAGAATGATTTTATTATGCAGGCAAGGGTGCGGTCAAACTAGCCGTATCCTAAGTGATTCTAGTACTCCAAATGGATTGTGTAACCCGCGACTGCGGTAGAGAAGGAACTCCTGAAGGACGTCCAATGAGGGTCCTAATTGAGCTTGTGTAGTGAAACGGTGGTCAACCATCCTGGGGATCATGAATCCTGGGAATATCCAAAAGGAGAGAAACGTAACAAGGGGTGAGGTTTCCATCCATCTATATTGTCGAAGAGCAGTAAGATGTCCGGATCCCATGGTAATTGGGACCTGTATAACAAAGAAGAGTCCTCACGTGCTGTAGTGAGAGTGTGAAAGAATCCGATTACTCGTTTGTATGATCCTGTTCCCTGTCCGACCTGTCAAGTTCCGTGTAGGAACTTCTGGTCTGCACGCAACCTACAAGATAAGGTATAATACAGTGAGACCCTAGGTCCCTGAACTTCTGACTGTCCGGGCAAAGGACCCAGAAAAGTGAATTTGAGAACCGAAGTCGAGGCATCCCAATAGAAGAATACCTCCTATCTAGCCTGGAGTCCCGCGAATTCATAGCGTTCTCTACTACGCAGGCAAGACCCAAAGTCTCTTCACTGACGACAGGTGACTCCAGAGAGCAGATATAACGGAAAACAAGGATCTAGCTCCAAACGTCCAAAGCAGGCATTGTCCAGTTTGGGAACATCGTCAGACATATCCAGGCCTGCTACACAACCTGAGCAGTACTCCAGCGGTAGGTTGCATCCCGTCTAGCGACGTCTGTGTAGGAGCCGGGGACACACAGGGTTCGTCCATAGAGTCCAAGTAGGTCTCCTTGATGGTAGTTGAGTAGGTGGGTTAGGGAGAACCCAAACCAAGACATGTCCCGTGGGGAATTAGAGTATAGAAGAAGGGCCCTCCAAATCTGACTCACGCTCTACAGGATATGTTCTCAAGTGCATAGCGGCAGTCTTGTCATCTTATCCTCAAGATAGTTAATGACCAGGGAATCTGGTCTTTCCACGCAATCCATGTGTACGGTGCACCCGCAGACCGGGTTGAGGGTCTTCCCTAGTCTTGTTACCCGAGTACGGTAGTGCATGTTTGCTCTATGAAGACCTCAGGATCTCCTGTCACTTTGACATGTGAAAATTGTCAGCGCAGTTTGTTCGCAATGGTCTGTATAGCCTAAACAGAGTGCGATTGCATGCCTGATATAGCCTCGATGGTACCAAAACCTACACTGAGGCTCATCCGTTAGCTGTACCGTCTCCAGGAGTACATCCAAAATAAATGGTATAGGGTCACCAATAAAATGGGTTAATCTTGGGAGCTGAATCCAAGATGGCCAGTTCACACAGCCCCGATATTGTCCCCTAAAGTCTCCGGGGTGCGAGTAAACAAGCGGGGAATCTCCACCAGTAGTACCTCTGAGAGTATTTCTTGCGTGGGATATAGTAGTCCTGGATCCATTATAGGAGCTGAAATGGAGGAATCCAATCTAAGCATGTATACCCTGCATGATCAGGCCGCCCTCAATAACGAAATCGGTAGCACCGTTGTTCGATCTAGTGGAGGGATTCTCTCCCCTTGTCCAGTTGCTATGAAGCATCGTACCAGAGCTGAGGCCTCAGCGTTAAACTCGGTATGAGGTACGGACCTCCATATTGAATGGCATGTAGGAGGGACTCTAAGCAGTCCTCGTTGCCCTGTACAAGTACAAGCCTGTGTGATGAAATGGATGACACCCTAGTGCGTTGGTGTATAATGTAACCGAACTCCGTGTCAGCATCCGGCTGATAGTCTGAGTGGGCCACACCCGTTAATAACAAAATTAGAGTCTACATCCGTGAACGGATTCTTCTACATGAGTGTGACACACTCAGAAACATGTCCTCTGTATCCCTCTCAGTGTTGGGCAGAGGTTGAGCCGCACCCTCTAGTAAGGAAACAGTGTCCGGTTCCGTATATGAGAGGGGTACACCAGACCCTGCTAATCCACACTGTGACTCCTGCTGCAGAGCCTCCCTATTCAGCTCCTGGGAGGTCTGTTTAATTACCTGCTCCTAGTTCCTGGTATCCGCATAAGCTGAATCAGGGTTCTGGTATGTGGCTGCAAAAACGCTGGTGCTCAACACCAGGGGGCGTGCGGTTGCCCTGCACCAGACCCTGCTAATCCACCTCCACACTGTGACTCCTACTCTGAACATCAGGCATATTGGGTCCTGGTCCACGCACCGCCGCCCGGACAGGGTCTGGGTCCCGGGCACTGGACCGCCACCCATGACACTCTGTTGCCCGTATATTGGTGTCCTCCTGGATGGTATTGCAGCAGTGCTTGCCAGGACACCCCCCATCTCCATGTCAATAATGGGCACTGAGCTTCCTCCGTGTTATACTCCCAGGCCTGCAGCCAAAGGGGTTCGGGCACACATAGCTTAGGCCAACAATGGGCACAGACATTGCAGGCCCATCAATGGGGCACAGACATAGCAAGCCCTTCAATGGGGCAAAGACATAGAAGGCCCGACGAATGGGCACAGACATAGCAGGCCAGACGATGGTGCACAGACATAGCAGGCTAGACGATGTTGCTCAGACATAGCAGGCCAGACGATGGGGCACAGACATAGCAGGCCAGTCATAAGGGCACAGACAGAGCCGGCTATACACAGGTGTTGCGTTCCGACGGTTGCAAGGGCCAATCTGCGTGGCTAGAGTCCTCTATATATGTGTAATGGAAAAACAGAGAACCTGGGGTTAAAACTCCACTCTGTAAACCCACTAGCAGGGTAGTAATGTGCCTATAATACTAAACAGGGAACTGGGACCCTGTAGCGGTCTAAATCAGAGATATCCAGGCTGCAGGAAACTTCAGAGCCGTGCATGGGCTACTGTCTATAAGCTGGTATACAGCCCAGTAAAATGTAAATCTCATAGACAAGTGTCACTTAGAATGTCCCTTATAGAATGGTACAAGCCCATAGCTGCATTCAGTCACTATAGAGAAACTATAGTAAGACAAAAAAAGGGGGGGGGGGGAACAGCGCTACAGTACTGATCACAAAGGGGGATAGAGGTGCACACCTGAAAGGAAGGGTAACCCTCAAACCCTTCAAAAATTGAGAGAACAACAGACAACAGATACAGGGTGCGCTAGATAAAACGAAAGAGTCTCTATAG